CTCTGTTTGTAGATGCAGATTAACTGAAAAAGGCTTTGCGGGCCCGAAAAGTTTTTGGGGCTTTCGAGAAACAGGCCCCAGCACAATAAATTGACGTAAAAGAACTGAAAATTCTAGCTAACTAAAAATTCAACGTTGGCTGTTTATTATTTTTTCGCTCAGGTTGAAATAGTCCAAAAAAGGCAATTTTAATTAAATGTGTTTTGACATTAATTCAAATTCAATTTCTTTCATTTTGGTTTTGTAAAGCCGATGCACCAGGATAACCAATGTCACTTGTCAAAAACGTTTCTTTCATTCTAGACTTAATCTGACAAGTGTTTCTTTTGCCTCACTCAAGCCGCCAAAACCGAAATAAAATTACATTTGTCAGTAAAATCAATTAGTAACTTGGTACAATTTAACATCTCCCAGCATCACGTAAAAGACGCCGAAGGGAATATAAGTGATTTATTTGTGGCTGTGATACGTTTAGCCAAACAATGTTCTTACAAAGATGACGGCTGTCACGTAAGTTTATTCTAACAGGGGAAAAAAAAAATAGCGTAATTCTAATTCTGCCCCGGTTGAATGAAAACCAGAAAGCGAAGATGCAGACCGGCCGCGCGTGTGTTATTGTGATAATATTGTGACTGCACCTGCAAACAGTTGGTTTAAAGTACATTTGGAAGATCTATTAATTTTAACAGAAGACACTAATAAGATGATTGTACAGAGCCACAAAATGTGCTAATGGAAGCTTTAACAAATACGTCAAATCGAAAAATGATAATAGCAAAAATAATAAAGAAAAAATTCTAACCAACAAGAAGGCTTTCCAAAACCGTGATTGGGTAATTGTACAAAAAGAAGAAAATATTCGACGTTCTAAGCTCGCATGAAATAAGTTACAAGAAAGATAAATTGCTATTTTTATTTTTGATTCACCGCTGATTATTAAAATGGGCAAGAAACGCGCAATATTTCAATCTACATTAAGACCTGTTTATCGCGTTTTGAATATACCGAAAATATGTGTATTTAAATTAAAAGATTAAAAAGGTGGAAGATTTAGAAATTTGACAACTTAGCAGTAAGCAAAAGAGACGTGTCTAATAGCCCTTCACTCAAGGTTTTTAGTTTATTAGCTAATCAACCCTGGGATCGAAATAAAATATATTTTACAGGAAGTTCAAGCCAATTTGAGGCGATTTTTATTGGTTTCTTTACGTCTCACGTGATCACTCGACAAAATACGGATCTTACAACTTCTTTTGTGGCTGTGTTTTACAAAGGGGGACAATTAGCACTAAAAATGCCAAGTGCAAAGGATATCGTGCAACAATGGCTGGCATCTTTTACATTCATGAATATGGGAATATTGTTAACAGTTACTGAAACTCATACAGCACTGTGACTTTGAATTCACACCACTACGACCGAAGCAGGTTTCATCATGCGTCGGTTTCACAGCACTGGAGTTTCCTCGCTTCCTCTTGGTGTTTTTTAGCCACAAGTCGGCGGGAATTTTTCAGTTTGATAATGGCAACATACGGTGAGGTCGAGGACAGTGGCAATCGCCTTGTTATCAACGTGAGTGGAGCTATCTTTGAAGTAAGCGAGAGTAAGTTGGATCATTTTCCGCAGTCTTTACTCGGTTGCCCTCAAAAGAGACGAAAATACTTTGATTCGCATCGAGAGGAGTATTTTTTCGACCGCCACCGGCAAGCTTTCGAGGGGATATTGTTTTACTATCAGAACGAAGGGAGATTAATTTATCCGGACAATGTGCCCGCCGAAGTGTTTGATGAAGAAGTTAAGTTCTTTATGCTCCCCGTTGAGCCAGACAGCTGTGAAAAGTTAGAAAAGGCATTACTGGGAGATCGTAACCGCTCTCGCCCGCTAAACGTTTGGCAAAGAGTGCTGTGGGAGTTGTTTGAATTTCCAAATTCATCCTTGGCTGCCAAAATGTTAGCAGTTCTCTCGCAGGTGTTTATTTTGGTATCCTTGGCAGGTTCTTGCTTAAGAACTGTTGAATCGCTTCAAACCAAGCATGTAAGGGAGGCGAAAAACTACCAACAACATAACACGTCCGCAGTTTACTCCGAAACAAAATCAGCTGGGTCGTCAAGACTACACGAAGATGAATGGTTTTCATTCGACCTTGTTTGCTATAGCTGGTTTACTTTAGAATGCGCTGTGCGATTGCTCGCCTCTCCAAATAAAGGCGAATATTTTAAATTGCTCCCAAACTGCGCTGATTTTGGGACGATCCTAGTTTTTTATTTAAAGCTTATCGTGAAAATGAGCTGGCCTTCAGCGAGGACACTCGTGCGCTTATTGGAGACGTTGACGGTCATTCGCATTTTAAAACTCTTGCGTTATTGGGAAGGAATGAAAATTCTCGTGTTCACTGTTGTATCAGGCATTCGCGATCTGGGCCTTTTGGTAACGTTCGCCACAACTGTGGTTATTTTGGGATCTAGCGCTGTGTTCTTTGTGGAACTTAACGAGGACGAAGATAGCGACTTTGAGAGTATTCCTGACGCGTTTTGGTGGGCAATCATTACAATATGTACTGTTGGTTATGGCGATAAGGTTCCCGCCACGACAATGGGAAAGTTTTTGGGCGCTATTTGCGCTGTACTCGGCACAGTTACTGTGGCGCTTCCATTGTTTCGTTTCGCGGCTCATTTTCGCACAAAAATCGAAAACTCCACTTATATTCAATCTTCTCGCGATCGAAATCCCAGAAGGTCGACAAGAAAAAGTCGGTAAAATCATCCTTCAATTCAACAGCGCGTTGAGGTTTGAGAGCTTTAATAAAGCCACAAAATCGACGTAATTCGAAAGAGTCGAACACCTGAAGCAAGAGTAATTAGTAAAGGGTACATTATGGCAAGAAGAAAAAAAAGTTATTAATTACACAAGAAATTTGAGTTGTGAACAAATTGACAGGTCACCTTGTACATGTATTCATGAATTACTATCGAGTTAGTCATTTTTCGGGAAGAAAGTGACAGATTGAATAAATTATATCGAAATTATGAGTATTTTTTTTTATAACATTCTCAAATTTCTTGTTTTTCCTGAGATAAAATTAAGACGAGAAAAATTAAAGGAGGAGAGAAAACAACCAAGCAAAATGAAATTATCTCATTGCCATACAAGGAAAAAATTAAAAGTACCCTAAAAAGTTTTGGATTGTGGCTTTTATTTATGAAAGTTTGAGTAGATGAAACCGCATGTTAAAGAAAACAACATTGTATGCGAATATTGCAGCTACCGCCGCAAGCATTTATTCAAAATTTAAATTTGTTTTTGTGAAAAATAATTTATTCAAGATAAAATAATACGAATCCAAGCTGCTTCTTTGTTTTCAATTCATAGCGCAATAATATGAAAAATGTTATTGTGAATCCATTGTGTAAGCCTGCCTTAATGAATCACGTTTTCTCTTATTTTTTCGCAAAGCTTTTGAGGTTGGACTTCACGCGATTAAAAACGGCTTTTTCGGCAATTCCAGGCCGGAAATTCTTTGTTGTGGGAAACAACGAATCTTCCTCGAAACTCGAAAATTGCAATATTCTTAATATCCAAGCCACGATCTAAAGAAATTATTTTCATTTTTATTAAAGGACCTTGAGACTTAGACTGAGAAATTCAGACACTCATTTTAGGCTTTGGGAAATGAGTTTCTGTAACTGGTGCAAATTGATATTGTTTTGTTTTTCGTGTCAAACGAAACACAAAATATTCAATTTACAGAAAGCTGTTTGACAGTTGTTAGACAAAACAAATGGCGGTTGTTTTCCAGTCGTTAAGGTTTACTTCTAGACCAGTTGCGACTGTAATTATTAAATTCAATTTGATCTCCAATATTTGCGGTAGAACATATTTATGAATTGTAAAACTTAAGACTTACCAGTTAAAGGAGTTTACCAGGATCAAATTGTGAATCATGATTCGATCAAAGATCGTGCATTGGCGTTCTGGTGAAACCTGC